TAATAATCTTTTATTATCATATTAATTCTGAAATACTTGAAAATTATCGTATTAATTCAGAAATATTTGAAAATTCCATATGATTATAAATTTTTTAAAAAATTATACGATCGTTATGTCTTGAGAAAATTTAGTAAGAAGCAGAAATAATTAAGATTAATAATATCAATGCTTGCAAATTACACTTAAATAATCATCTCGAATAACTCGAATAATGTTTAAACATATAAAATGTCGTTTAAACACGTCGCGACAGATGATCGTAAAAGGAAGAAAAGTGATGAGCACGTGAAAATCGTTTAAACCTGAAGAACTCGAGATCGAAATCTCCGCCGGCGCCTTGCTGATGGTGATTTCGGTTGAGAATTATTCCAAACAATTCCTTATATCGTTCTATGTGTCTGTAATTGTCTCGGCCGGCCGTAAAGGTACTGTTACTACTCAAATTAGAATCGCCTTCTTCTACTCTTCCTCATCTTTATGACATTTTAAAAGATAATGATTTGAAATATCTGTTATCTGAAAAATTCTCTCTCTTGTTACAAAATAGATTATCTTCCATGAATCATATTATGAATTATGTTAATGGAAATCGATAAATAATTTATTTTTTTTTGTTTATATGAGAGCTAAAATGAAATTAATTTGTTCAATAATTGTTGAAAATAATGAAATTTGAAATAAATATTTTAACTTAACTCTAAAATTTTGTGTTCTAACTTTTTACGATTATTTTTTGCCAATGGTTTAATTTTACTTGGTATAATTGTTACAATATCCGTATTTTATAAATAAAGGATAAGTAGTAGCAGAAATAATTAAGTATACTTTTAAGATCTTCATAAAATTTTTCAATTATTTAATGCTATCAATTTATTAAAACATATATTGTTAATATTTATCTTATCTCGATATATTTATCTCGATATAGCTACATATAATTTATATTTATACCATATAAATAATAATATATGCTCAATAAAAACAAATTAATAATAATAAAGTAGAAGAAAGGTTACGAGCTAAACAATAAACTTTTAATATTCGATAATAAACATTACAAATATATATTTCGTTCACCAATCGGATCATTATCAATGTAAAAATAAAAATAGAATTTGAAATTATGATATTATATAGCGGTTGAGTAAAATATAAGTAAAATATTACAATAAATAGCCTATGAAGTTATCAGAAAATTTAAAATAATTTATATTTATATTTTCTATTTTCCCATCAACGTTTAATTAAGAAACGAAATTGTTAACAAAGTTAATCGGTCAATAAAGCTCGAGCTAGGATGTACCGTTTTTACGTTTACTTTGAGAAACAGATTCCCTACGGTCCATACGCGACGCGTCACCGAATCTAACGGTAACGTTGATTCGTCCAAAACGTCGTTTCCTCCTCTACAAGTCGAATGTTATCGAGTTGTATATTTACTTACATCCTTGTGAGCGGTAACGGTATATACGTTTCGGTGGTTCGTTTCATGAATAAATTATTCTAACTATCACCACAAGACAATGACATTCCTTTTTATAACTAATGACAAATTTCAAATTAATATAGGCAATTTACTTATATTTATTTTTATTTTTGGAACCAGAAAACTTTTTTTTACTTTAATTAAATTATTGTAACTTATTGTTGGTTCGTAACAATCGAATTCATACATTTTATCGTGTTATTTTATGAAAATACTTTATAAAAAAAAGTAAATACTTAATGTGAATCATATAAAATGCAATGGGTTTCAAAACGTTAAGCCATAAAATGGAATATCCGAAAAATCGAAAGCAAATCTTGACTTATTCCATACATTTAAATATTAAATGTTTGACTTCTCTTAATCTTAAAATGTAATATTTATCTAATACAAAAATAATATAGAATAAAATATATATAAAATAATTTTACAAAAAATTTAATTTGATTAATTTTTGATTCGGCGATTCAATTTTTTCTGTCTATCACTGATAATACATAGAGTGAAAAGAATTTTATCAACAAAAAGGCGAAATTTTGAAGTTTCTAGATAACAAATTGATGTCAAAGACGTTATTTTGATGTTAAAATGACGACAAATAATGCCTGCTACTTAAGTAATTTTGTGGTTGCATCTAGAAAAAAAACCCGCGGCCTGCGGCGGCATACTTAAACGTTGCGTTTACGTTGCGCTTTAGATAATAAACGTTCGATGCACCATGAAGCGGTACAGTCGTAAAACAATCATTTCTTTGAAAGAAATATTTAGTGTCTCTCTTTGTCTAGTCTGTGTAGATTTCAAATTCCTAACCAGTGAGGGATGATGCATACACATAATAGATCTATTATGAATGGATGTTACAACTGTTCAACCACATTCACTCGAAGATCTATTTAGTTGACACTAATTAAAAGTAACATAACATTAATGTTACAATTTTGCAACAATAATATAAATATAATACATGATGTTACAATTATATTATTGAGTGCATAAGCATAACATTAATGTTTTGTTATACTTTTAATGGGGGTGTCAACTGAACGTTATCCAAACTTCACTTTGGATTTATAAATCTAGACCTAAATTTTGATTTTTTCTTGTTTTCACAAAATTAATTGTTCGAGACAAATTTTGTAGGACTTGCGAAGGACGATCGATCATTGATAGTATCTTTCAATTATAACATCAAAGAAACGTTTAATCTTTATCTTACTCACTGTGAGGAACATTTGTTTCAGCTTCAACTTTAAAAGTCCTTTCCCGGCCCGTTCGATAATCTCCACGTTACATTAAAATCCAGCAGACTGTCCTCGAAAGACAGGGTAAGTAAAAAAAAGTTATAAATACCGAAAAAGAGAATATTAGAATTGGGACCACGATTCTCTCTTTCGCTTCCTTAAACACCGTTCATGTCACTGCACCGGATGTCGAGTGGGGTCGAGCACCTCCGTCCTCGCAGGTGGATGTCCAGAGGTTGACTGTAGAATCGTAAGTAACCGCTCTGTGCTTGGGCAGCCAGTCGGGGCGAAAGAGGGGATCTTTCTTTCTCTTTCTTCCTTTCTGGTCGGGGATACTGGCCCCTATTCTGCCTCTAAACCTTTTTCCGCATATTGGTGAAAAGAGAAGATAATTATTTGATGTAAGAGGATAAATCTCTGTTGACTCTCTTTTTCAAATAGGTTGTATAGATTGAAAAACGCAGAGAGAGCGTTCGAAGTTTTTCTCTACTAGAACAATCAGAGGATAACGAAAGAAAATAAGGGCCCGGGAAAATAAAAAACATTATATCTCTTTTAAAAAAAGTTTGAAAAGTTTTAAATCAATTTCTTATGAATAATAAATTTATTTTGTTATACGTTCTATTATTATAGGATTGTCATAAGCTGAAAATCAGAGACCTTTGCAAAATTTTCTGGAAAATTAAAATTCTTAGTTTTAAAGAAGTTTA